CAATTATTTTTAAAATTTGAAGACAAAGTCTGTTTAAAGATTTATTTTTATTTTGGATTTAATTCCGGGTTGTGCAGAACAGTAAGCTGACACAGAGCCGTCTCAGCCATCCGGCCAGCTATACGCAAATGTTATTTATATACTTTTTTTAAGTCACATTATTTGCCTTTAATTTGTCTGTTCTCTAGATAAAATCCTATAACTCAATTTTCATCCACTTCCCAATTTCTGATCTAGTTGAAATTTTTCATACATATGTATTCCCGATGACGATAATTTCATTTTGTTTTTAGAGTTTGCAAACAATTCAATAATATACGTTAAATTAAATGCTAAACCAAGAACAATTTCGATAATTTAGTGTTACCTATATAAAACTAAGGAGTAGAAAATAAAAAATATACAAATATTTAAAGAAATGCTTTTTATTCACATAAACGTACTAAAAAGTAAAAAAAAAAAAAAAATTTTTTCATGATATTCTTATTATGTTACCAAACATAAAAGTATAGGGCTCTAATGTTTAGTTACATTTTCCATCAATTTTTATGGGATTTCCATGAACACCCCATACTTTTATTTTTGGTAGCATAATATCAAGAATACTTTTTAAAAACTCTTTCCGTCCTGTAGGCACTAAGAGGACCTCTTTTTAAGAGGGTTCTGCCAGGCGGTGAAGGACGGGCCACCTCCAAAAATTCCTAGGGATATTTCGACCCGTACAGATTCAAACCAGGTCCCCCAGACCTTGACCGCTCGGCCATCCGGCCGTCTACCAAGAATACTGTGAAGCTGAAGAAACTAGTTTTTTACTTTTCAGTGCATTCATTTATATGAATAAAAACGTTTTTAAAATTTTTAAAAATATCTTTTATTTTAATTAATACTTTACAATCGTTTTCGGACAGCGAATACCACAGAGCATTATTTTCTCTTGCCGTCTTAAAATGGTTGCAATTAACAAATATGTCGGAATCACCCATAATTTTCTACTCCTGAATGGTAATCCCGGAATCAACGTTTTGAAAATTGACAATTCTAGCAACAGTGAATATTAAAAATATACACTCAACAATTCTGAACATTATTTGAATATAAAAAATATTTACTTTTCAGTTATACTTTCATCTAGAGCAGTGTTTCTCAACGGGGCGATATCGCCCCTTGTGGGCGTTTTTCCATGTTCAGGGGGCGATTAGTAACAATTTATATTTTGGGGGAGCGAAAAACAATTTTCTGGGCGATATAGTAAAACATTATATTAAGAATAATTAGATATTTTATTCGTTAGTACAATAATTAAACAAATAACATCATACTAGTCACTAGTCTATTCGATGCAGTACAAATTTGGCGTTAGCCTTGGCCCTCGGCATCTGAATTTTGAAGGGAGCGATACTACAAACTGTTTTATTGAAGGGGCGATACTACGTAACGGTTTCATTGAAGGGGGCGACGATTCGTTAGAGGTTGAGAAACACTGATCTAGAGTATAAGAAAGAAATAATGTAAAAATAATTACTCTGTAAAGATGATTATTGTCGTTAAGGTTCCCACTTATTGCGCCGACGATTAATTGACCATTTCTTTCTCCATTTTTTGAAGTTTTAACGTTTTTAAACGCTTTTATTTAATACTTGCTTTGTATCGTCCTGAAATCTTGCAAATCAAATTTCATTCACTTCTAATTAAGATAGAAGGTTGATTGAGGAAATAACCAGAGATAAAAGTCCAATGGATGGCCGGATAGACGAGCGGTTACGGTGGCTTCTTGAGGAACTCGAAATCGAATCAGGACGGGTCGAAAAACCACAGGAATTTTTCAATGACTTATCTGGATATGTTTGGCCTCTCCGTTATCAACCGCCTCACTGTGGACCAAACTCATGATGGGCTTACTTAAAAGGTCTTAGTGTCCACAGGGCAGAGAGTAAAAAGTAATTCCAATGCATTTAATATTTTGGGAGAGTGACTCATCCCACCATCCTCCTACTCCGAAACTCGATAAACATAATCAAATGAAGAATTTAATCACGATGTGTGTGTTTGTGTGTAAATAATAATACTGTATATATGATGGTGGTGAAGTCACTTCATCCAGCGGACTCCGCAGACTATATGAAAAGGAGGAACAAGCTATAAAAATAGGCATCGTACATTATGCAAGAGGCTTCAAACCATGGGCGTATTCAAAATCTCAGCGTCTATTCAGCGAGATGCTGCCGGAACTGACGCAACTGCTGGCGTTTTCGAGTGAACACAAACTCTGACTGGGAAAGAAAAACAAGAAAAATGGCGAATGATGTGGTCTTCTACGTTATGTTAACTGTATTTTTGAACTTATTTAAATCAACGGGAACAGCTTAATGAAAAATTAACATTTTGAAAAGAGAAAGAAGGATGAAGATTTTTTAATTTCCCTAGAAGTTTTAAATAATTAAATCAATCCTAAGATTACGTTTTAACAACTAAAACAAATTATTGTATATGATGTCTTACGTAAATGTACTATATCAGCGCTGTCCAACTGGCGGCCCGCGGGCCGTATACAGCCCGCCAAATAATTTTTACGGCCCTCGAGTACATTTTACTATGAATAAATTTGTTACTAAATTATTATTATTAATATTAAAATTATTTTACTACCGTGTTTCCCCGAAAATAAGTGTCTCTTACATTAATTTTTGCTCTGAAAAATGCGCTAGGTCTTATTTTCAGGGAATGTCTTATTTTTTCCAGGAAGAAGAATTCACATTTATTATTGAACAAAAAAATTCCCAAGTCGAACTTAGACGAGAGTGACGTATATCCGGTGTGTCGAACTGTCGCCTTTTTATAGCGTCAACATCGGACTCGCTGACCAATTAGTGCTTACTGAACCGTAGAACTATGCAAATGTCGTGTGGTTTATCAACCTTCTTGGCCCCCGAAATGTTTGATAAAGAAAATATGGCCCGCGGACTATGATAAGTTGGACAGCGCTGTACTATATATTAAAATATTCTATTAATGTACTAACTTACTCTTAATTTATTCAGAGTATATTCATCAACAAATAAATTAAATTCAAAATTGTCAACACAAAATAGCGCCCTTACGAGTCTCGTGGTGGCTTCCATCTTGTTTGCTGGCGTACAGAGCACCAAAAAGACGCTTGCAGCACACTGACAGCAACAGAAGGTTACCGAAGATTTTGAACAGAATTGCTGGTAGCACGGAGATTTTGAATACACCATATGAATCAACATTGGATAAGCGCCTCCACAAGATGATGCAGGTTACATTCGGGGCTAACTTGTCCTCGAAAACAAGAAATGCGATTTTGGTCAATATACAACGAATAAGTAACCACATAAAAATAGCTGCGCGGGGCAATGGACAAATATTCTTTATTAGTTTCTTTTATATTTGCAGAATAGACTTTCTAGAAGCCATAAATATTGTACGAAATGAAGGAATAGAGCGACCCAGCCGAAAAGGGGAACACGTGCTCTAATATACGGGCACCTTTGACCCCATCATACATTCTCCACCTTCAATCTCAAAAACGTGAACAACAAAAGCAGTGGCGTAATTAATGTTTTCTGTGACCTGTGCAAGATTTATTTGGCTGTTTTTTTGAAAAAGTATTAAAAAACAAAAACGGTAGAAATTAATTTTTTTTTTCAATTTTAATCAAAAACGTTAGAGAATCGATACCCACGGCGGCAAAATTTAAAATTTGAAAATAGAAATAAAAAACGATTATTCTTTATATCCTATTTTAGGGCTCCTCTTCATCTTGGGTCCTATACCTGTGCTCCTGTTACACCTGCTTACTTATGAGGCTGAAAAAGTGTCTTTAAAACATTAAAATTATTATTTAGTTGATTTTGAGCAGCTGAACTGCTCAAAATGAACCACCAACCATAATTAATTAAGAAATAAAATACATTATTGAAAGTAACAATCAAAATTCCTACAGCACCAGTACAACTCGTGACAGCTAGAACCAAAATGGTGGATTATGCCGCCTGATTATTCATTGCTTGAATTTTTTCTATTGCGTCATTACTGGTGACGTTAATCATTCGAAACACAGCTGTAACAGCTGTAAGCTGTAGCTGTTGACATACTGTATTTTGTAACGATGATAAAATTGTTTCCATTGAAAAAAAATCAATTTTTATCTCTTCCAACATTTTAAACAAGTCGATGTAATTCGTTGGCTCAGGAAACCATTAGAGGTGCATAAAATTCTTTGTTTCATTCTCTGCCAGTTAAATATACCTGCATTACTGAATACAGACTAGCCTGAAACTGTAAACGATCCATTAACTGCACACTTTGGTTACTTTTTAATTTTTCCCCCTTCCTCTAAAATATTGTTCTTTTGCCTATGTATTTAATAATGGAAATAAAACTAATTCTCAAGTTTTAAATATACTGTATTTCATAATAAATACAAAATAATAAACTGCAAATGTGTTTATTTGAAAATGCAAATTTTCAGCTTAAAATAATTTCAGTTTTAACTATCAACCCTGCTGAAATACTTGTTTCTGAATTTTCAATTATTTTATGTATATCAATCAGTTTGGTATTATTAAATTTCTTTCCTGAAAAATTATTATTTATAAATTTATTAGAAATTTAAAATGTTCATATTCAGATCTGAGGATGAAGCTGAGTAGGGTCAAAACATAGTAATAAATTTAAACTCCTATAAAAACAAGATTTTTATTCTTAATTTAATATGAAGTCAAATCTTTGTTTTATTTTCATACAGTAAGACCTCTAAATACCAAATTTGAAGGAATCAAAACATATTTAGTTTGAGTTAATGGAAAGTTCTAAATACATAGATATATGAAAAAAGAAAACTTTTTTCAAATGAAAAGTACAAAACAGTAAAATAAGTATGTAATTTTGTGATAAACAGTTTTTCAAGTTTATCAATCATTATTAAAACATATGAGACTGTAATAATTATTTAAATAAATATGAATTTAGGTGTATTACTGAATTTATTCAAAAATCAAATTTTGCATAATACATTACACCACATTTCAATATACCCATTAGATCTGGTGGATTTTTCCACCAAACTGGCAATCCCAATCATGGAAAAATTCATATTGCTTGGTAAATCAGTTTTAATACAGCTGGATAAGTGAGACAATGACATAGCTTGTTTCATTTAAAACAGATAATGTCATTGACTTATTTATCCAGCTTTACCAAACAAGATGTTGAAAGGATTCACAGAACTTATAGGTTGGTTAGCACTGCTGAATTTGACTAATTCAACTTAAGGAAGAATATTGAGATACATGAAATTTTGTTCTATTTTAGAAATAGAAAATGTTATATTATATAGTGAATTATGTTATGTTATATATTATTCACTGTAACCAACTCAACTTAAGGAGAGAATTTGAGAATAGAGGTGTTACTGTATTTGCAATTTATGACTTACATTTTTCTCTATATTCTATATTTTTTTGACTAAAACTAATAATTAGAATTTTAGGGAAACTTAAAAATCACAACTTGTCCAGTTTATTGGTATATAATATAAGCTAATAATGTATTAGTTTATATTATACATAAGCTAATAATGCAACTTCAGATGGCATTTCTCTATTCATATTCTTAAATTGTAATTAGAAATGTGTATAATTTTAGCATATATATAAGTATTGAATATAAATATATACAAAATTATTTGCAATGGCTTATTCATTGAGTTGCATACTTTTGAATTCTAATGAATAATACATTATTATCCATAGAATTCATAGTTGTGACAGGCATATTCAACTTCTTAAATATTCAAAGAATGCTGAAACATATAACTCCTTTATACTTTTATATAGTCTTTACATATTTTTGAATTCATAATCTTCCATTTAAAACAGAAAATTAAATAAAACATTGTTTTATAAGAAAAGATATTTAATGAGAAAACGTTCTCAACAAACATATTTGTATATTATATTCTGTTAATACATAAAAATATAATTTTTTGAACTTTTAAAGACAAGATTATCCATATTTAAATTGAAAATTTATAAATCACACTTTGGTATTAAAATTAATAAAATTTTTAGATGCTGATCAAGACTAAATTATGATCATTTACACTTATCACATCATATTCTCTCTCTTGTACTGTCTTATGATAAAATTTGAAATGTATTTGTTTACATATGAAAAATGATATATAATGTATTTACAAGTAACAATACAAAAATGCATTTATAGAAATTGAGTTCAAACTAATACATTCTAATAGGAAGATTTTTTATATATAATGTACAATATTATATAATGATGATGATATAATGATTTATGGAAAAATATATTAAATCCATTGAATATCTCTTTTCATAAGTTTGGATATGTCATCAATAGAGAAACCTCCATTGGTGATCAAATATTTTAAAAGTACAAGAATATCATTTACCTTGATGTCATCGTGAGATTTTTTCAAAACTGTATGTGATAAAGACATTATATATATATCATACAAATATGAATGTAAGGCTTTTATTTTTTCATAATGTTCATTGACTGAAGTTGTAGAAAGAGAGACATTTTGCAAATCAAGTGACTGGCACCAATTCTGACTGGTTTTTTTAATATTTTCAATCTGTTTTAGGGCAGCTTTTATTGACGAACTCAGCTTGATTTCTAATGGAGGATCTGTCTCTCTTGGTTTCAACAGTGCTTCATACAAAATTTTTTTCTTCTCTCTTTCAGAAAATGGAAAAGTAGTAGATAATGCATTTCCTTCATTCCTATTGAAATCATTATCAGCACATTCATGTTCATCCATTATTTTTCTGTATTTGGATGGTCTTTCTGGTGTACTTAAGTTTTTAAAGGAACTATTGCCAACAATAGATTTAATTTTTGCCCGTAATTTGTTCACTAAGAGAGAATTATGTTCAGATGTAGATTCTTCAATTTTTCCATTTTTTCTTATTGGACTCATTTCACAGTTATGAATCTGATTTTGCAAACCATTTGTATCTTGAAAATCATTCTGTGTTTCAGGCCACTCACCACTCAGAGCATCACTAATCTTATTCATTGTCATGGGTACTCCAATATCTAAATCATCTGTATCCATACTACATTGATCTTGATTTGACATATCCACATCAGTATTCTGAAAAATTTTATTCATTTTAAAAAGCAGAAAAATAAAATAGAGATGCTAAAATATATTCAATTAACTTTAAATATAAATTTTTACATTGTAATACATTAAAAATACAATCAATGTCATGGCTAAAATATAATAGAGAAATTATAAATATGTAAGACTATCTCATGTCTGACTTTCTTGGTTGTTTAAATATTTTAAGTAATTTTATAATTTACAATTTAAAAAACCATTTTTATATATTTTTGCCATTATAGTGAATGAATAAATAATATAAAACTTACAGAACAGTCATGACTTTCATATGGTTACATTCCCAGACTGTACATGCAAACAAACATTCACATAACCCAAGACAAATTATTATACAGGAACTTATTTGCATGCAAATAACAAGTGTTTTTGAATTATTATGTTGATGTTTAATTCTATGCTTGTAGAATGTATTCCTTCCCAAAATTTCCTCAACCTTAATACAAAATAATAAAAAAAGTTAACTTTTAAGAAATCTACAGGATTTCCTGGGCATAAATCCATCCATCATAAATATCCTAAGATGAAATAAAGTAGACAATGGTATCTTCTCCATGAGATGTCTTCACATCAGTCCATAATAGTCACTAGAGTTTCTCTAACGAGATCCTGCAATCCCAGCTGTTTTTTAAACCAGGAAATTCCCACCTGAAGAAATCCTGCAGATTTCTTAAAGTTCACTTTTTTCTTATTTTGTATTAAGGTCATGGGCATAGCCAGAGTTTTGTTATGGGAGCCTAGTAGAGGCCAACCTAAATTGAATTACTTCAAATTATTGTTCATTAAAATGAAATTTCCATAAGAATCGACAATAACTTAACACAAATAAAATATGAAACTTCCTTTAATCATACGTTCTCACAACATTAATATCAAACTCTAGCAATGCCTTAAACAAAAATTAACCAATCAATTATTTTTTTTTACCATTCTTTAATATAGTTCACCATCTTTAATCTAGATATAGACCAGGGGTGGCCAACAGTTTTTTCCTCTGGGACGAATTGGAAAGAAAACTTTCTTCACTGCCCGAACCAGAGGCGGCCCTAGCAAGATTTTCAGGTGATGCAAAATCTTATTGTGGCGTCACTCCATAGAGACTAAAAAACTGTTGACTTTTTTTTTTTTTAGGATCAGAATTTCTGAACTTCCCTATAACTTCACATTGTCAGGTTGTAGAGAATTATCGTGGATCCATTCAACCAATTATTTTAAGTTCAGTCCAATATTCAGAGATTAATTGCAGGCCACAGTACACTACACCCAATTAAATTAGCTTCAACTTTTTATTTCTTTTTGCAAATTGGCTCAACACTTTTTCAGCTGTGATTTTCTGGGGAGGGCACCAGGTTAACTGGAGGGGTGCCATGCCCACCCATGCCCCTTCCTGGCTACACCCATGGTTAAGATTGAGGAAATTTTGCAAATAGAAAATATAATTAATTCATAAACTATCAGAATACATTTGTATTTATTAATTTTAAGCCTGCTTATTAGTTTTTAAAATTTTTTCTTGTTATGGCATGTCAGATTGTTAATAATCAATATGTAGCCTATTTGTGGCAAGACTCCAAAAATTCTTTATCTGTCAGAACTTGTAATATCTTGAATAATTGCACTGATGCTGTCTTAATTTTTAACCATGCTCAGTAGCTTCAATAACTGCATTATGCAAGGTTGTGCAAATTGGGCAAGGATACAAATGAGTATAAAGTATTCAAGTATAAAGTTTTTCTTCATAAACCTGATTATTAAAGCCAAACAAACTACCAAATTATTGGACTATGAGCTTGATGCCATTATTAAAGCAGCTTAGGTAGGCAAATCAAGAATACCAGACAGCAAAAGAAGTACTGCAACACATCTTGAAAACGAACTAGAAATCTTCAAGGATTCAGGTGAAAAAATACATAACATCTGTCTTCTCTTAAATGCATTAAACATGATTCCACTCACATCAATTGAATTGGAAAGGGCATTCTTGGTAGCAGGACTTTTCATTACTAAAATAAGAACCAGATTGAGTGATTGGAGTATTGACCATCTTTGCTTTTTAAAATCTTATTATAAAAATTTACAATAATATTTTGTACTATGTTTTATTTAAAAAACAAAAATTATCTTCTAAAGTTTGATCTAAGATTCATTAGAAGTTTGATCTAAGTTCATTTTTTTCTTTATATTTTTAACTAAATTTAAAGGCTTTTTTCGTTGTTGTTGTAAGCAGTTTCCAACAAACTTTAACAAATTTTTTCTATTTGTGAAAATTTCTACATAATTCAAAAATAATTTTTAATACATATTTTACACAGCATTATCATCATTATTATTTTGGAGGTTGTAGAACATTAAATTACTTAAAAAATAAAAAATAATTATACCATTTGATTTCAAGATTTATTTTATATCTTAAAAATAATTAATTATATCCTGGGAAATAGATCACTTTTTCTTGAAATCCCAGGACAAGCAAAGGACTGGGAAATGAGAAACCCTAATAGTCACAGAGTTTCTCACCAGAAATAGTATCAACATGCTTTCACATCTTGCATATTCACCTGACTTAGTCCTTTGCACCAGCAAATGAATGTAAACAGAAATTAATAGCTATATAGAAATTAAATCAATGTATGTAAAACATTATCTAAGTTAGAAGTATATTAATGTAACTGCCAAATTTCATAGCAATTGGTCAAATGGCATAGGAGTGCGTACTGAACAAACAAACATCCTCATTTATATATTTTATGTGGACCAGTAAATATATGTGGCTATGAATTATGCTTATATATGCTTATCTAGAGTCACTGTACATAACAAATTAACTCTAGATTACTATTTAAATGTCACATGTAATCAATTATGCTAGCATCAGTAGCCAAATATTTTTCTATGGACAGGTAAAATTTTTTCACTGACCAGCAGTTGAAAAACACTGCTCTAAAGCAAAGCATGCCTACATGTTTCTTTATATGAAAGCTATTTCTATGAGTGATAAGCAATCTGTTGTTTTATTTGCATTCTTTCCATATTCCATTAATCACATTTCTATTTCTTCTTTTTATTAGTAACATGTACTTATAATTATATATTTTATATATAGTCGACCCCCCTATAACACGGATTCCTATATCACGGCGAAAAAATTGCGACAGTATTCGTACAAATATGCTAAAAAAACTCCTATAATTCGGTAAAACGTCATCGCCAACTTGTGTTGCGACAGGATTGCACAAACCATTGAGTTTAAACGAGCAGCGGACCTACTAAATACCCTGTATTATTTAACATCCATAAAAATTATATTTATATTAGTGATGTCTCTAAAGTTAAATTATTTTTTTTGCAAAAAATTCGCTGATCAGGAAGCACGCGAGCGCCATTCGATGACAATCTCCACGACGAAAACAAGCTTAAGCAACGGCGTAGTCGAATGGTGCACGCTTGGTAAGTAATCCTACAATTTTTTGTTTATAGCATAGTTTATATGGATTATTCCCAAAAAATTATACGTATTTTGGAAATGTTGAGTTGAATTAGTCTAGAATCGATTAATTTTACGGAAGAAACCTTTCAAACAGCCATAGTCCGTAAACTGCATATGTGCCGGACTGTGATTGGCTGGACTCCTAGAAGCTGGATTCATAAAACTCTGAACGTATCTACCGTGTTATAGGGGGGTTGACTGTAATATTAATATCTTTCTTTTTTTTAATGTTTTTTTTAATAAAAATAATCTTTTTCTAATACTACAAGTAATATAAGTGTATATTGTCCAGGGGAAAATCCTGACCAAAATTTTTGGGCATGCTTAAGTTGTAATAAGAATAATAGACCTATCTTTAGCAAACAATAAGCAGAAATGTTATTTGGTGTGAATAAAAAAGTATGGAGTATTATAAAGCCAATTATATCAACCATGAAATATATTATAATGAAAAAGTATTAAAAATTTATGATAATAATTCAAATTTTGTGGGCCCTTGACACTGAGGGCCAGGGTTTAAGCCCTATTAATCTCTATGTAATTCCACTCCTGTACACAATACATGTATGCTGACTGGATACCACAAGCTTTTGATACAATCTAGCCATGTTAAATTCTTCAAATGATGTAATGTGCACACACTTGTTTGCTGCAGCAAGCTTCCACATGAGCAAGCAATCAAGTTCCTGCAAGAATCACACTGACTTAAAATGACTAGCCAGTAGCTGTCAATGTAAAAGCTTTTGATAAAAGAGTTTATATGTTAGAATAAATTATTATTGGCATTTTAATAAAATATAAAATTCATCTGGATACGAGTCCAAGTTTACTTGCCATGTCTAATCACCAGGAACAACTATTTCCATTGCAGAGACAACCTTTCTTTAGAGGCTATGCCTCTGCACGAATATGTAAAACAGTTTAAAATGTCCACAGGTGACAATCCCAACACAATTAAAAATATAATATTTGTTTGTAGAAATGGGCTGGCAGAATTACATTTTAATAAAATATAAAATTCATCTGGATACGAGTCCAAGTTTACTTGCCATGTCTAATCACCAGGAACTCTCAACCACACACACCCATAATATTATTGGCATATTTGTTCTCATGTAAAAAGTATATTGACAGTCAAAACTTTCTCTTAAGCATGCAGCGCATGCTAAGCAAGCCTAGAGAATTCGCCTGATATTTTCCAAAATGAAGTGTTTTTAAAACTGCTGATATTTAAGTCCAGATTCACAATTACAGAACAATGAAAGTACGAAACAAAAATATTCCAACTGTAACTTTCTGTACTGAACAAACTTTTATAAAGATTTAGAATAATTTTTTAATGAAAATTTTAAAGTATTTTGCTTAGTAACTCTCAACCACACACACCCATATATTTTATACACTTTAGATTTTCATTTGCCAACAATGTTTAAATTTGCTTTTGTAAATGATTGCTTTTAGCATTCCTTCATTAAAGTGTCAG